ACGACGATAACAGGGGCGACGGCAGCAGTGGTAGCAGTGGCGATGACAACCTCTTCGTCGTCTTCATGAGCCGACTTGACAGAGGAGGTCATGTCTGCTTCATCTTCGGTATCACTGGTGAAAACGTGGTCTCGGCTTTCGGTGGGATCGACCTCGGAGGGTGTGTTTGAAGATATCGGGGTAACGTCGGGTGTGGTCGTGAAATTAGAGCCGACGGTGAGGACGCTTGGCTTTGAGGAGGGACTAAACGTCGGAGGAAGAGCTAATAGGCTGGACGACGAGTCGGGATGCGCGTCTCCATGGTGGGAAGTGAGCCCAGACAGCGCTCGCGAAGCCGCGGCTGCAATTGCATTGATTTGGGGCTTGAGTACGTTGACTGGACGTGGCGCGGCAATTACAAAAAAATTTTTTTTGACAGTGGTGTCAGTAAAAAAGGTTTCATATAACAATGGCAGTGAAATGCGAGATAGAACGGGGACGTGAATGGAGCGCGAGATAGTAGGAGCCTAGCTAGACAAGGGACGCAAGCTGCAAAAGGATAGAGGGCCACCCCGACGAGGGTAAAGTAGGAATGGAACGGGTAGGGAGAAGTGCTATACTACTCACCATCATCAATGAGGTCAGACGTCTCGTCGAGGGCACGACCATCGCGTTGGGTGTTGATTAAAGGCATGACGAGGAGAGAGTTCAAAGGGCGGGTGGAATGGACGGCTAAGAGGTGAATAAGGTGGGTGCGCCAAAGGCTCTAGCGAGGAAGCGGGCTAGCGCAGCGACGAGAGGCAGAGGAGAGAGAGCAGAGAGAGGAAGAGGATGAAGATGAAAAGGAAGAGTTAGCTTGTGTGCGCAAATTTAAGGAGCAGGGTTGAGCGAGTGCGTCGGGGAAACTCGCGAATGACGGCCCTGTTTATATAGACGGCTCAGGTTAGCACCGTTCAAGAATGACAACCATTTCTAGGCTGATTATCGATATAATCTTTTAACCCTAACCCACAGTTTCACATGGGCCATGCTCCGCGTCAGTTGCGCGCGCCCGGCTCGACGAGACTGGAAGCTCAGTACGCCTGACCCAGCCTTGTTTGCCATCGATGACCAGATAGATGAGCAGATGAGCAGAATGACTAAATAGCGTGAATACAGATGGCTCTCCAAAAATGGGAGTGGGAATTGGGTCCAAGGTTGATCACAGAGGCGTCGAAGCGTTATCGCAAATGGGCAAGTGACATCCTACCGCACTCCACCGTCCACGGCTAGCCAATACTAGTCCAGAACAACGCATACAACGTGTAAGTCGTGCAGTATACCGCCTCCCAGCGTTTTCGATCATTAATCCAGGAAACAATAGCGTTGATACATCGATGGTTGACCATTCGATGATGGTACTATCTGGCGCAGCGTCCTGGCTTGCTTAGATCCGAGATCGTAACTGGCACAACGCAACCTCCTCTGATCACATACACGGAGCAGAGCACGAAAGCAGACACGAACAAAAGGACCAGACAGCAAAGTTACGCCTCCATTGCAGGCTCGCGATTCAACTCGAGCTCATCGCCTCACCGTTTGATGCGGGTCTTCTATCATTCTTGTCGATTGACCCGTGCATTTTCGTTTTGCCCTTGCGACGGATCCTGTCGAAACTCGTCTTGCGTCTGCGTTCCAGAAGGGTCACCCTCTACCACCCGTTGATAAAAAGACGTAGTATACCGTAAGCCCCATCCACACGAGTCGAAAGAGCCACAGTAACGTACCTTCGAGAATTATGCACTTAAAAAGGTTAATTTAGTTTTCTCGTGAACAGGAATGAGCCGCGCATTCAAATACACTCAATGGCCATTCGCAAGCGATGTTATTCCTCCTTTCCACGCGGGACAAACCCCGAGAAATTCAAATAAAATAAAACTTTATCTGATTAGCAGCGACGCTTCCGCCGCCACATTATGAATATACTCCAGCCTTCATCCTTAGTGCGTTCAGATCTCCACTAGGCACCACCCACATACACAACACCCATCATTATCCCCAGCCAGACACAAACGGACCTATCTCCTGACCAAAACCGCCATCCTCCCCTTCGGAAACACCCCCTCTCGTCTCGACAGACGCACACCCTCTTACACTATACCCCACACACTATCACAGTCCAACTGACCTCTCTCCCCATTCTATACACACATCATCTATTTCAGTGAGCGTCTTCCACATACATCATTGTTCACAAGTCCTTCGGCCATTGCCGTCACACTGCGCCGACCTTCCCCAGCACCTCTTCCACCTTCTTCTCACCCAAAACAATACTCTTCACAACCGGTAACACCTCCTTGAACGTACGGAACTGAACGTACGGGATCCCAAGCGTGTCGCAGTACCGCGCCAAGTCACTCCCCCCACTCTCCTGCTCCTTGCAGAACAAGAGGTCGGCGTGTTTGGCGGCTGACATGTCTGCATTAGTGCCACACATACAACACACATCACACCCGGGTCACAACCCCCCAATACAAACCCGGCATATCATCGTTTGTGTCCGTGGTTTCCGTTTTCCATCCGTGGATAGAGATACGTGGGGTTTGGGTCGCAAAAGGTGTTCACA